TCACAGGTTTACAATAATGATCTCGCTTACCTTCTCACAGGTTTACAATAACTATCTCACTTACCTTCTCACAGGTTTACAATAATGATCTCTCTTACCTTCTCACAAAGTTCTGTACTACGTTGAAACCATCGTTCTGACAATTTAAGGCCTGAATGTACTCTTGCACGAATCCTCTCATTCGTGGATACTTTCCGAAGTCCTAAAAAATAAATTAATCTTGTGATATTTAAAGAACAGACAACAAAATCTTGTCACAACCAAAAGATATTTTTTTGTACGACACAATGAAAACAACTGATGTCATAATTCATCTCAAAACAACAACGCTTTTGTTCAAAACAATAATAATCTCTAACTCTTATTACTCTTATTTCGTAGATTTTAAACACTTACTTCATCACTGATGATGGTTGGCTAAACATTAACAATTCATTGATAAAAAAATCAACATTTACTTGAATAGAAAATTATCTATGCTTGTTCAAAAACTAGAGCAGCCATCTCAAATGAAAGGTTAGTTGTGTCTACCGTTGCCATGGTGATGGGATTATGGTGATCAGCTCTCGAGCCCTTTCTGTCACACCTGAGGTACATGTTCGTCACTTAAATCGGGTAGGATTATATAATGGCTATACCATGCAGTGGTATTAAGAACAGAAAGAAAAGCTCCTTATATGAAGTTGAGCAAACTTACTGTGTTGTGTTTCATGATTCTCATTACGACGGGGGTGAAGAGTTCTATGACAATACTGGAGCGGGGGCTGTTTTTACAGTGCTGCAAAAAACAAACATAAATACATCAAAATAACATCTCACTGAAAAATATACAGTGGACCCCTGTCTAAAACAGATCCTTGTCTATACTGACCATACAGTAAAACATGTCTAAATCTGCCCTGTCTAATACAAATCCGTCTTTACTGACACTTCAGTAAAACATGTCTAAATATGCCCTGTCTAATACAAATCTCTTTCTTTACTGACATTTCAGAAACATGTCTAAATACACCCTGTCTAATACAAATTCCTGTCTTTACTGACACTTCAGTAAAACATGTCTTATATCCACAGATAACGATTCTTTTCTGACTTATTCTATATTTGGTCCTGGAAGTTTCTCATTTAAAGTATAGCATGTCAGTCATGTTTGACCCAAGTTCTGCTTACTCTGGACACAAATATTGCTTTATTGGTCTTGCTACATTATTTCTTTTTAAATACCATTCTAGCTTTTCTTCCCAAATATCCTAGTAATAGACCTTTTTCTTGACACATTTGACATTTTGACATTTTGACTTTCCATTCATTATATATGATTGTTTATAATTACAATTTAAAATTGAATGTTATTTTCGTCTTTCTGTTCTTTATATTCAGCGCTTTATTTTAGATTATATTGACTTATACACATAGATATTTTGAAACCCGTTACTACTGACTCTATAAACAGACTCCCTGTATAAACTGTGTATGTATTTTATGGGTCACACAAATAACTTTGAAGAAAATATCAGAAACAATACAGTCTCTTTAGAAGAATGATTGTTTATATGTCTTAATTGTACACTTTCAAATATCAAATAAAATTTATAGATATTTTGAAACTAAAAGCAATACTAACTGAAATTTCTATCTGAACAATTTATTTATTTCAAACTCGCCGATTATCATGAATGTACCTAAGTATCTCGTCTTACAATGTACTATTCCAGTCAGCTATATGATAAACCCACCCTAAGTATCTCGTCTTACAATGTACTATTCCAGTCAGCTATATGATAAACCCACCCTAAATATCTCGCCTTACAATGTACTATTCCAGTCAGCTATATGATAAACCCACCCTAAATCACCAATGGCATACTTGCCAACTTTTTTAAAAATTTCCATGGGGGAGATTCTGCATGCTCAAAATCAAAACATAATAAAATGTGTGTATACATTCAATAGGGCCAAAAAAACAATTAAAATAAACATATTTTGAGTTGTTCTTTCAGATGAAATCGTTAGATCTTAGAATATTATAGGAAACAGTTAAGCAAATTTACTGGTTGAAAAAACTATATTTAAGGGTCCTAAATCGGGAGTCTCCCTCGTAAATAGGGAGGGTTGGCAAATATGCAATTGTATGGTTGATTTTCAAAGTATACTCTACTGTAACGGGTAAGGAAAGGAGGGCTCACCTTGCTGAAGAAACCACATATTTCCTGCGTAGGGTAATTGTTTTCAAGCAGCGGCGACAAGGCAACAATGATGTTCTCGTGAGCCACCCGGGTAATGAAATCTGCATTCTGTAATAATAATTATAATGATATACAGCATTTGATATAGCACTCTATCTAGCTAACATAAGCCGCTCTAAAGCGCTTTAAAGTACATAGATATACCATTAATACAATTAGTATATTTACAATAATCGAAACAATTTTGAGCAATTCACAGGAGCTGCCTTATCTGGTGCTAACTACTAGTCGTATGCTGACTGGCTAATACCTCCCTATGTGTGTATGCCTGTGGGTGTGCTGGGGATGTAACAGAGTAATCTCCCTTAGAAATGTTTTAGATTACAGTATCTAAATGCTGTGAAATCAGATATATTTGTGGGGCCCAAATTTCGAGGTTTCCCGGCAAAACACCACTTTGTGGGTATATGTATTCCTGGACTACAAGTACCCACTAAAACGGAAAATTGCTTTATATCAAACTTGAAATTACTTTGCAGACCTGTGAATTCTTTGAAGATGGTCATGAAATCAACAAAATTAAAAAATAAAACCAGGCAAATTCGTAATTTCACAGCAAGAACTCTTGGTCAAAGACCAACTATATATACCCACATAGTACCTGCCTTGACAAAAGAATGCAGAGCTGAAAAAAATGATTCAATGGTGATTACAGAGGGTAATTCACCAAGATTTATTTATTTTTAATTCAACATCCTTCAAACAGCTCTGGTCATTTCACAAATTCCCTAGACCTATATTTTAGCAAGTTTCTGGCTAAATATTATGATGCTATAATATATAGGCCTTTATAGTTCTTAAGGTGTCGAAAAATTTAGTAATCCATCGATGACAGAAAGCTACATGCTAAATGTAGGTCTCTTAGACTTTAGAAGAACTAGTTAGAGATTTCTAACTGTAGGTCTCTCAGACTTTAGAAGAACTAGTAAGAGAGTTCTAACTGTAGGTCTCTTAGACTTTAGAAGAACTAGTAAGAGAGTTCTAACTGTAGGTCTCTTAGACTTTAGAAGTACTAGTTAGAGAGTTCTAACTGTAGGTCTCTTAGACTTTAGAAGTATTAGTTAGAGAGTTCTAACTGTAGGTCTCTTAGACTTTAGAAGTACTAGTTAGAGTGTTCTAACTGTAGGTCTCTTAGACTTTAGAAGTACTAGTTAGAGTGTTCTAACTGTAGGTCTCTTAGACTTTAGAAGTACTAGTTAGAGTGTTCTAACTGTAGGTCTCTTAGACTTTAGAAGTACTAGTTAGAGTGTTCTAACTGTAGGTCTCTTAGACTTTAGAAGTACTAGTTAGAGTGTTCTAACTGTAGGTCTCTTAGACTTTAGAAGTACTAGTTAGAGTGTTCTAACTGTAGGTCTCTTAGACTTTAGAAGTACTAGTTAGAGTGTTCTAACTGTAGGTCTCTTAGACTTTAGAAGTACTAGTTAGAGTGTTCTAACTGTAGGTCTCTTAGACTTTAGAAGTACTAGTTAGAGTGTTCTAACTGTAGGTCTCTTAGACTTTAGAAGTACTAGTTAGAGTGTTCTAACTGTAGGTCTCTTAGACTTTAGAAGTACTAGTTAGAGTGTTCTAACTGTAGGTCTCTTAGACTTTAGAAGTACTAGTTAGAGTGTTCTAACTGTAGGTCTCTTAGACTTTAGAAGTACTAGTTAGAGAGTTCTAACTGTAGGTCTCTTAGACTTTAGAAGTACTAGTTTGAGACTTCTAACTGTAGGTCTCTTAGACTTTAGAAGTACTAGTTCGACAGTTCTTGCAAATTTTAATGACTGTGGTGCTGAGTCAAGGTCAAGGTCATGTGTTTACACGGACACGGTAGTTCTCAATGCCAGCCTTGTTCATGACTCCAGAGCTTTTGGTTCTTCTGAAGAAACAATTTGAGTGCTTAACATATTTGACCAACATGACCTAGAATATCCAGGTCGAGGTCATTTTTTTTTATCAAACACTCTAGAACTTCATGCCAGCAAGCTACTTGCCATATAACATGACTACTGGTCTCTGGTTCTTCAGAGAATAAGCTGTTTGAGTGTTTTAACAGATATGACCACCGGGACCTTGAAAATAGGTAAAATATTTTCTAAAATTTTGACTAGGCCTCTTTGTGATTCAATATAATTTAATAGTGTTTTAACATATTTGATCACTGTGACCTTGAATAAAGGTCAAGGTCATTTCATTTCACAAATTTTGTAGCATTCCATGCAAGTACACCACTTTATCATGAATCCAAGCAGTTTGGTTGTTCAGAAGAAGCTGTGATAGTTTTGTACAGATTTGACCCCTGGTGAGTGGTCTTGAAAATATGTAAAAGTAATTTTGGTGCCACACACATAATGATTTTAAGCCTGTTAGTGTTTAAGAAAAAGCTAGTGTTTCATTATTTTAACAAATTTGAACCTCGTGACATTGAATGTTGGTCAAGGTAATTCATTTTCTAAAACTTTGCAGCATTCTATGCCAGCAAGCTGCTAAAATATTTTTCATGACTGTATGTCTTTTGTATCTTCAGAAAATGTTCTTTCAATGTTTTACAGTTATAGATTATAGTTATAGATGACGGACCACGGACGCAGGGTGATTTGAATAGCCCACCATCAGATGATGGTGGGCTAAAAACGACACCCACAGGAACCGGATAGACACCAAGACAGTGAAAACGACAACAACAGGAACCAGAAAGACACAAACACAAAGAAAAAACAACACCAACAGGAACCGGATGGACCCCAAGACAAAGCAAAAAGAACAGGAACTGGATAGACACTAAGACAGCAAAAACAACAACAACAGGGACCAGATAGACACCAAGAGAAGGCAAAAACGACAACAACAGGAACCAGATAGACACCAAGACAGCGAAAACGACAACAACAGGAACCAGAAAGACACAAACACAAAGAAAAAACAACACCAACAGGAACCGGATGGACACCAAGACAAAGCAAAAACGACAACAACAGGAACCAGATAGACACCAAGACAAAGCAAAAACGACAACAACAGGGACCAGATAGACACCAAGACAGCGAAAACGACAACAACAGGAACTGGAAAGACACCAAGAAAAGCAAAAACAACAGGAACTGGAAAGACACCAAGAAAAGTAAAAACAACAGGAACTGGAAAGACACCGACAAAGCAAAAACGACAACAACAGGAACTGGAAAGACACCAAGAAAAGCAACAACAACAGGAACTGGAAAGACACCAAGACAAAGCAAAAACGACAACAACAGGAACTGGAAAGACACCAAGAAAAGCAAAAACAACAGGAACTGGAAAGACACCAAGACAAAGCAAAAACGACAACAACAGGAACCAGAAAGACACCAAGACAGCGAAAACGACAACAACAGGAACTGAATAGACACCAAGACAAAGCAAAAACGACAACAACAGGAACTGGAAAGACACCAAGACAAAGCAAAAACAACAGGAACTGGAAAGACACCAAGAAAAGCAAAAATGACAACCACAGGAGCTGGAAAGACACCAAGACAAAGCAAAAACAACAACAACAGGAACTGGAAAGACACCAAGACAAAGCAAAAACGACAACAATAGGAGCTGGGAAGACACCAAAAAAAATATATCATGGAACCACTGAAGCTTCCAACACCTATGTGGTTCTAACTAACTCTACATGTGGCTCTTAGTAAAATTCTACTGGTGAAGTTGCACCCAGAATCCTTAGCTGACAGATTGTGTTGGTCTTCAGAAAGATGTACCAGCCAGCCACAGCTAGCAATCTGTCCATTTTATAGTGGCTGAGGAAAATCAATATCCATGATGCGAATGAGGTATGATACACACTATAGAAGTTGTCTGGCAGAAGTTGATCTTTGGCTGTTGTTTCCCCATCACCCTCTTTTATAGGAGGCTTTGTATGTCCATCAACACATCTCATATACATCCTGCTCACTCAAGATTATTGTTCTACGCAATTAAATATCATCAGATTCTGTTAAAGTGCATGAATATCATCAAATTCTATTGCCATCCATTGCTTTTGCTTAGACTGTGAAAATAACAAGTTCTATCTATTCTATCAAGTTATATATTCATAAGTGTAGTAAACTGTATATCAGAATTCAGCCTAATCCATTAAAATGTCATACAATTTTGTCCTAGTCCATTAAAATATCATACAATTATGTCCCAGTTCATTAGAATATCATACAAAAAAATCTGTCCTAGTCCATAAAAATTATAATCATACAAAAAAAGGTGTCCTAGTCCATTAAAATATCAAACAATTATGTTCTAGTCCATTAAAATATACCACAACTGTCCTTTTCCATTGTAATTAAGGATAACAATGACCTTGACCTTGACCTTGAATTTGAACTTGCACCCTGAGCCACAAACTCATTTCAGGTATTCCCAGAACTGACTCATAAGTAACAGGACTCTATGTTAGGTACTTTTTCAATGTTTTTTTTTTCTTTTTTCAACCCATTTCATTGAAGTCTGACACACTGCTAGAGAATTATCCAGTGTTTCTTTTCCATTAATTAGCTCTAATAATTGACCTGGCCTGCAATTTAAGTAGCTTTAGCCTTTGATTAAAGACATCTCAGTGATGTAGCTATTGTTTCTTCACAAGGACTGCCAAATCTGTTTCTTTTCAGGGACAGGTTGAAATTCGTGAGAAATGTGTCCCGCGACATGGGAATGTTTCCGAGTCAATTTTCATGAGTCTTACCATTAGATATGGCATGCATGAATATCATACTTTACATATATCACATTTATTGTGATCTTTTGAATTCCCGGTGATGAAGACTTAATTTTACCTAGAAAAGTCACCAACCCTTAAATGAACTCACAATTCCCATGACACAAACTAAATTTTCCAAAAGTTATCAGAAGGGCTCTTACATGTATGCACCAATTTGATGACAGACAGCCTCACTTTGATGACAGACAGCCTCATTTTGATTACATACAGCTTCGTTTTGATTACAGATAGCCTCATTTTTATCACCAGCAGTGACTGTCTGTTAGCTGGACTGTCTGTAAACTGGACTGTCTGTAAGCTTGACTGTCTG